CTCTCTCTCTCTCTCTCTCTCTCTCTCTCTCTCTCTCTCTCTCTCTCTCTGTCTCTCTCCATTCCCCTTCTTCTCTTTCTCTCTCTCCCCCTCGGTCGATAAAATTATGCATGTTAAGTTATTTTCGGTTTATGTCGTAGTAATAAATTAAACTTTAAACCCCAGGCCGAACGATGCGGTCTCTTATGCAATTATCATTTCATGTTGCGTCCGTGGAAGAAGTAACGATCGTCAGCACTATATTATTTACTCGCCTTCAATGTAACATAATATTAATATAAGATAGCGAATTATTGCATTTAACATATAATACGATATCAATCGATCAAGATTTCATAATAACACACAATTATCGCTCACCTTTCATTTCTCCTTTAATTAATTAAATATCACGGCGAATACACACGCTTCTCGTATTTGTTTATCGATCTCCATTTAACTCCGCCGATCTCCGCCGTGCCGTAACCGTCAACTCAACCGTGGAACCCCATCTCACCCCTTAATCATGCGTTAAAAATGAGATCGAGATTTATGAAACAGCCCGCGCGCGTTTGGAGTCACTACTTAACTGCGGACACTTCCGCTTCTATTTTTCCAACGTTCCCCGTGAGAGAAATCAAACCTAACGTAGCGAGGAAGAGCGCGCGATCGCGGAGGAGGCGTATATCGGCCTGTAGCTCGCCACCCGAGATAATAAACCGAATCGATCCCCTCTGTTGAAGTCGCGAGAACCGAGGACGCGGGGAGACTCGTGATTTCTGACTTCACGTGCTGCTTTTCTCATCACTCTCTTTCTTTCTCTCTGCCTCTCTCTCTCTCTCTCTCTCTCTCTCTCTCGCGCGCGCGCGCGCCCGGCAATCTGTACACCGGCGCCGCGGAGGGTTGCTTTTCCGGCGGGCTCTCGTCACATCTCTTCGGCGTCGGAAAAACTCACGGACGCGCCGCTGCGTACACGTATGTATGCATGTTGATATGAACGCGTATACATAGAGACATGTCCGGCTATAGATCCGTCTGTGCAGCGCAGTGCACGGTTGAGCGCGAATATAGACAGGGATGCAAGTGCCAGCGAGTAACGACCTTGGTGCGGCTCGTGCCGTTCTTATAATGTTTTTCCAGAATAAATGGGCTTTCCGCTGGGCGCGGCGGTGGCGTCGGTTCCATGGGGTTCACCGTAACCATGGCAACCCCGTAACGCCATTAAGCGGGCACGGGGTTTCTCTCTCACCCCCGGCGGAGAGGGGAATCTCCGGCAGCAGGAGCCTGGCGGGAGACGAGAGAAGGCCGTAACGCCACTGCCGCCGCTGCCGCCGCCCTCGCTCTCGCCCGCGTTCGACTATACGAAATCGTTCCTCTCCTCTCCTCGTCCTCGCTCCTCGAGTTCTAGAGGACCGCGGCCTAGGGTGGCAAACCCCCATAAAAATAAATAACTCGCGAGCAGTAGGAGTATAAAGGTGATACGCGCCTGCTGCCGTTCGTCCCCTCCTGCTTCTTCCTCTCTCCGTATTCTCGTGGCCGACCGACCACCTAAAACACTATACGCCCTGACAGGACGAACAATGCGCTATGTTATATCACGTTGTCACTCGTGAAACATGCGTGAAGCTATATAGAGTCAATTATAGTGACAGTGACGCGCCGGGAATTTTATGGGAACGATTATACCAATAAACGCGTTATAAAGTAGTTAATTGTGAAAACTGCGACTGCTTTAGAGACAATTAGATGGTCATGCTGACTGGATAGTTGAAACGCTTCATAACTTGAACTAAAGAAAGGTGTTATTTCGTGTAATGTCTTTTTTGCCGATTGACTGTCTCGATCTCGATGCGAGTTGTTGTTTACTTCGACTGTCGTTGCGGAGGAATTATATATATTTTAACGGTTAAAATGTGCTTTACAATTAAATACTTTAAGATAATGAACAAAGTTAATACATATTACGATATTGAGGGGAGATTATCCACCGCCTTTTGTTTCTATTTATATAAAAGAAAAAAGAGAGCCTTTGCATTCTTGATACGTTAACTTTTATCGGTACAACTAACCAGAAAACTTGTTTTTTGTTTCAGATTTAGGTAGAGCTTGTGGCCACACACTGGATGCGGTTCCCGGTAAGTGCAGTTTTCCGCAAGTGGATGCAGCTGTTGTACCGGAGCATCCGGTTTGAGCCAAGCAGGGTCAGCTCGAAGGTAGGTTTATTCCAACTTTTCTTATACCCTTAATTTAACCCTTTGCTGTCGAAAACTGAGACATGTTTAAGTAAAAATTATAAACTTACGACAACAATATTGCAAATGATCAACTCATATCAACGCGTATTTTTTACCATATTTTTTTCCATCAAGCCACTGACTGAGTCGTGTCTAATCATCGATGCTATTCTTTTTCTTCCAAAACTGTAACAGAACATGGCCGATCCTGAGTTTCCGGTATTTTGATGAGTCAAAAAGGTTTTGAGGTGGTGGGTTTTTTTGGTGCTTCGAGAAAGTTGAGAATAGATACGAAGAGAGAAGTACTCTTCCTCACACGCGCAATATTTCAGACATTTGAAGTCATTATCTATCTCAATTGACATTCGCTAACAAGTGCGTTTAATAGGCAATATTGCGGTTTCGCACTTTCTGGTACATGGAAAAAAACTTCAACTACAACTGAATAGAAACCAGATGAAAAATTCACTAACGAGAAACAATATCTCTGTTACTGTGATCGTTGAACATTCCTCTGAACATTCAGCATTCAAACTCGGCTGAGAGAGCAATTAGCTAACTTCCTACACGAATCTTTCTGTTTCCACAACCGGGTTTTTCATCTGGTTCCCAGGTAGCAGAAAATTTCGTTACGCTAACAGAGTTGTTTTTCCCGTGTGTGCGATTAAAATGAACTATTTTGCAATTCCTTTTAACTTGATGATTCAAACGACTGTACATATCTGGCTAACCTGATTATATTGAGCAGATTTTTCCATCGTGCATGTATTCTTCCACACCTCATACACGGTCATGACTTTTTTCATATCCCAAAGTTCATGAAGATCGATGCAATACTTCTTCCTTCGCGTGACTAAATAACGTCGGTTTAGTTTGCACGCGGGTATATAGCGTTTCCGAATCAAACAACCGACCGTTTCGTCACGGGGAAATCTCGCGTCGCGCTCGCCGTGCTTTAGTAACGCGATAGTAACTTTATACGCACGGCGGATATACATGCATCGTAGTAACACGAAGCCGAGGGCGAGTGTACCGTGACTTTTGTTGTTATTCGCGTTCGCGCTCGCTGGCTACGCTTATTAAAACTACCTGGTCGTCGCGCAACGCGCCAAGGTCGCGCTGGAAATTTACGATTCACCGCGGCTTATTTGTCGGCGAATCCGCGCTATGCTCTCGCTTCATTTCGCGGCGAATGAGATAAAGAAATGAAAGAAATGAGAAGGGACGCTCTCTCGTTGCGAAACGCAGCTTCGATCGTAACAGAGTTTCATCGCAACTCATCCAAGTCGGATTTGTATTTTCCAAACGATAAGTTCGTCATAGCGACACTTTCGCGCGTTCCACGAGGACGATCGGTCTGAGTTCGTTAATCGCGAGAGAAGATTTTATCGTAATCGTGCGCCATTTATCTCGAGGTGTTACGACGCTCGTTTGTCGCGACGAGAACACGTCCAGACACGCCTAACCGTTTAATTTCGGGCTGCGGCCGATCGGCTCTGCGACGAGGAACATTTATTTTCCAAAGGAGAGAAAGGGCCGCGCTAGGAAGGCAAAACGGAAGGAAATCGATAGAACAATTACAAAAGTTTCGCCCGCATTGTGAATCACCGTTCCGCGTGCTTGCGCGCGCCCGTCCTTTAATCTGGGTTACGTTTTTAAATCGTATCTGAATAAAACAACGGATTTCAGCTTTCACGAAAATTAACCGACACGCGCAAACATTTTTAGGATAGAGAGTGCACGGTGTGTTTTTAACATTTCATAACGTTTTACGATGATAATGGAATGGCTCCACACTCCGCGCTCGCTCGCATTTGCATTAATAACGCGGAATTATTCGCTTCGGCGAGGCATTTTAAGGAATTAGCAATTTATTTTACACTCGCTCACGCTTGCCGAAACACGTGCCTCCTCGTAATTAATACGTGTCTATTTAACATAACGTTACTGGATCGCGCAGGATATAATTGGCGCGTGACTAGTATTGACGGGGAAGAAACGGAGAACGCAAATTGATGTTATTATAAGATATTCGATTGTTGCCGGATATTCGTTCGGAAGGTTACAAACGTTATAACACTTTTAACAGCAGATTCCATGCGAAAACGACGAGTCACTGGATCGTTTGCACGCAAAAAATTCAGTTCTTATTCCAGGTATTAACATTTCAAAAGCCAAGAAGTAGTGTCGCGACTTCGCTTAATCCGTACCGGCGCCCGCGGTAATATTTTTATTCCGTATTGATCGGCATTAATCAGAAGTGTCGCCTTGAGAACGGATAGAGAGTATTCTCTTCGGCTACAATACATAACGATATTCATACCAATGTATGCGCGCGTTTTCCGCATAGCCGTGCAATTAATCAAATACGCGTGAGAAACCTCGCAACCAATGTCCAATCTGTTGTAAATTTTATTAATATAATTAATAAAAGATAAGCGCATAAAATTCGTGGGATATATGAATATCGATGCCGATAATTGTACACATTTCATGCATCAAATGCATATTTCGCAAATGCACACACCCTTACCATTATTAATCATGCTTTTATAATCTCGCAGAAAACAAATTTATCGCGCTCTACGTTCCCTCTCGACGACGAGATTCGGACGGGCTTTCGCCGACCGCGCCTCGTCGGTCGTTTCCAAGTCGAGACAATGTATTCGATGATCGTTAAGGGGCAACAAAGAGGAGGTAGGGAACCTGCGCTAGGCAATTCGATGGAACAATTACAAAAGTTTCGTTTATCCGGTCGCCCCATGGAGTCCGCGTCCCGTGAGCTATCGCTAAGTAGGTCGATGGTGATAAATTCGATCCGTCGTCCACACGGGAAGCGGCTGCGGAAATTCCGTCGGTTATCTGACCACCGCCAGTTATCTGTCAGATAATCTGGTTGCGCGTAAATCGCGCTGGCCCATTCTCTCGCTTAATGGCTGCGCGGCGCGCAACACCCTAGGAAACAAATTAAGTAGCTCCGCGCGTTCCTTCTTCATCGGCTCCCTTCGTCATCGCGTTCTTTCCCCGCGTCACCGTGTGACGCATCCGCTGAAGAAACGAGCCGGAACGGGCCTTCTACGACATGTGAACCCCGAAACGACTGCCGAATGACACGAGTCCGACTTGATTCGATCGTGGGTTAAATTGCAATTGCACTTTTATCTATCGGGAAGAATTCATTCGACGAAGAAGTAGCACGCGTGTTCTTGTCAACACGCAAAATAGTTTGGGTAAATGGACCGATTCAGCAATTCTGAAAAATCATTAGAATTTTTTAAAATTTTAATTTTAATTCTTTAAATTAAAGTTTAAATTTAATCACACGCGGTAAGAAACATTTTGTATTTGTGCGCAAGTCGGTCCGTATAGAAATTTCTCATGTGAAACTTGTAACATATCCGTGTGTTAATTTAACGTATTGTCCTTGCGTTATTTGGACTGTTCTATGTCGAGTTCATATCCACCATTCCTAAGTGCTAATATAGCACAATTTGTGTGTAACATGTATATTCTTGGTGACACATTTTATATATAAAGCGCACAGTTAAGTCGTGTTATTTGTTAACATAATTACCTTGTGTCAAGTTTAATTAGACTGGATAAACTGGGACATATGAAATATGTTAAATTTAACACAAAAATTTATGCAGTGCAGAAATTTTGGTAATTTGGACTGAATTCTGGTAACTTCAACCGGAATTTCTTAAGCACATTCGTGATTCACTAGAAATTGATCCGTTTGACTAAATTTTCTTTTTCCACCAATTTTATATTAATTATAATATTATAAATTATTATCATTAATTATATTGCCAACGTGTGAAATATTCGAGATCTGCCGGAAAGTGTCTGAAAAATAGCCTTGGAAAAATTTTGAATCAATTTCGTTGTCTCTTTCTCTCCGCGCGCGCGAAAACTTTGGGGGAAGTTTAATTACGGAGATACTTTCTGCCCAAGGCGATCTTCGTCAATCAGGCGTGTCGGGAATGCAAACGAATGATGCAACTTCATTTCTGATTAATTTCTCATTGGCACGCTTTAACGCGGAGAATATATTTACTATACTCTCGCGTAGTCTGCTCCATTTTCACGTGTCGAGGATTTCCCGTAGCTTCTTACGTAATCTTAATTTCATGAAGAACGCAGTAAAAATCAACTCACGTCGTTAATCGGTTCACATAATTCGCGCTTCTTTCCTCTCGAGATTCTTCAGAGCGACGTCGTCACGACGAGATTCTGGATGGCGAATCGATACTCGACCCGCCGTTTGCTATTTAAAGTTTCCTCTCACCGGGAATCTTCGACGGCGACACGCTTTGGAAAAAATCTGAGCACGTTAAGCACGTAAAACGACGAACGTCGACGACGGCGGGAGACATATTTTATAGTTAGTAAATTCTATGGTAATGACGTCGCGCACGCCGTACCGTGCGCGGAAGCTTGAAATTTATTCATACTAAGTAGATAACAAGATTTCGCGGTTACTCTCTACTGCTAAGAAGATAGCGACGTCGTTGGAACTTTGCTGGATGCACTATTGAATTGTCACTCAATATTGCGCCGTTAATAAGTAAAATCTTGACAAGTTGTATTTCGTAATAGCTCATCCACGAATGGAATCTGGAACAGAACCTAATATTGGATTATCTGCTACACGGAAACAAGTTATTTCGATTGTCGCTGGTCTAAATTTTCACGCGAGTCAACTTTAACCGATGAAACTAAAATTTATCCTATCAAATTTGATCTCGTTTTATATCTTATCAAATACTTCGCGATATTTTCGATCTACGCATTTTCGCTCTATTTATGGGCGCTGTTATATTCTTGATAAATAATTTCTCTAACAAAAACCCAGGCTCATTTTTCGAGCCTTGGCGAAGCTGCGCGCGCCGCAATCTTCCAAGTAACTTTGTCGCTATAGAAGATGTAGTTCCTTCGGGAAGCAGCCG